ACCTGAGCTGAAGGCAGTCGCTTAACCAACTGAGCCACCCAGGCGCCCTGAAAAACAATTTTAGGGGCACCTGGGTGGCCCAGTCGCTTCAATGTCCGACTCTTAGTCTCGGCTCAGGTCTTGATCTCATGGTGCTGGGTTTGAGCCCTGCTTAAAACAAAACAGTTTTAATTATGGAAAAAAATGTAAATGAAAAGGTATAAAGTATAAAGGATAATTAATAAATCTCCCATGTACCTATCACCTAGTTTTAAAAATACCAACTCATATCCAATCGGTGTTTATTTTTTCTTCACCCTCTAATTATTTTGAAGCAAATCCTGGACACCTTATTTTATCTGTAATTGTTTGTCTCGCTCTTTAAAAACAAAAAGATTTTATTTATTTATTTGTCAGAGAGAGCACAGCGGGGTGGGGGCTAGTGGCAGGCAGAGGGAGAAGCAGGCTCCCCGCTGAGCAAGGAGCCTGATGCGGGCTCGATCCCAGGAGCCTGGGATCATGACCTGAACCGAAGGCAGACACTTAACCAACTGAGCCACCCAGGCATCCCTGTCTCTTTTTTTAAAAAATATAAGAACTTGAGGGGTACCTGGGTGGCTCAGTCAGTTAGGCATCTGACTCTTGATCTCAGCTGAGGTCCTGATCTCAGGGTCGAGGGTTCAAGACCTGCATTGGGCTGCACACTGGGCATGGAGCCTACTTAAAAAAAAATAAGAATTTGCAAAATCATTGATTCTTAATTAACAGTGTTATCCAGTATCTAATCAGTGTTCAGTATGCCATTAGAATCACTTCACCCACTTATGGAAATATGCAGCTGGGAAAAGTTACTAGCTTAAGGAATTACAGGTGGGACGTTTTGATGTATTGGAGAATAGCACCCACTTAGCCAGGCCCACTGTTCACTGTGTTGTATGATTTCTGAATACCTTTTTCTTTAAAGATTTTTTTATTATTTTATTTGAGAGCGAGAGTGTGAGTGAGAGAGCACAAGCTGGCGGGGGGGGGGGCAGAGGGAGAGGGAGACGCAGGCTTCCCGCTGAGCAGGGAGCCCAACTTGGGGCTCGATCCCAGGACCCTGAGATCATGACCTGAGCCGAACGCAACTGCTGAACCGACTGAGCCACCCAGGCGCCCCAAATTCTGAATATTTTTAAATGTCCTTTGGCCTAACTTGACTGAATTTTGGCAAAGGCTTTTTGTCGCCATTCTTCCATCAAAACAGCAGCGCTGGGGACAGCGCACAGAGCCTGGAACCAGACAAGTTTTGAGTTCAAAGCCTAACTCTGGCTTTTAGTAGCTGTGTACTTGGCAGAGATACTCAATCTCCCATTCTCAGGGTCCTGGTCTCTAAAACGGAGTGGCGGGCCCCACCCTCATGGGCAATGAGGGTCTTCTAGCAAGTGCTGAATTTCAGCTTGGCATCTGTTAAGCATTCCTCAAATGTTAGGCCCTTCCCCAATTGACCTGTTTTCCTTCCCAGTCTAAGCCAGTGACACTTCTCTGAAAAGGTGAAAAGGATGAGAACTTCCTTCCCAGAGAGAACTCCCAACCACATCCCTTTCCGGGTATCCAGCTCCTGTGCTTCCTGAAATTCTTGGTTTGCTACTTAACTCCTTCTGCTGTTGCATGGGTGCTCTCTCCCTCTGTTCTCTCCTGAAATCTCCCCAGGGCTTGAGAAAAATGGTCACTTGGTCTCTGTGGCCTTCATGCCCCCCCCCCTTCCGCCAGCATTAGAGAGATGGGTCCCCTGTGGTTGCTCTGTATTGGGAGCTGCCTCAGGGCTTGGTAACTGCCCTTCAGGTCAGGGCATGCAAAGAGGTCAGAAGCCACTGGGCGTTGGCACCCAGGAAAGAATTAGGTTGGTGAAACCATTGCTTTCATTGCCAGGGGCTATCACGCAACAGGTTTATCCGCTCCTGAGGGTGCAGAGGTGGTGGCTTATGAACCTCTAGGCATTCTCTTGCTTTTTCTGAACGAGGGATGTTGGGGTTTAGGCACTCCAGGCTCTGCTCAGAGTAGAGTGCCCTATTACCTATAGGGCGATTACCTATAGGGCAAAGGGTACTGCTCAACCCTAGTGGAAGCTGATGCACTGGAGTGTGGAGTGGGGCCCTGGGCCAGACCATAACCCTTTAGTTGTCAAGGGAGGCAGGGGAGCGGGACTGTAGGCGTTGGTATTTCCCCACTGTTTCTGCAGCAGTGACGTCTCAATATTGTGAATGACGGTGTTAACCGTCTCACGGTGAGAGCGCTCATTCCAGCCCTTCTGTCTCCTCCGTGCTGGTCTGGATACCTGTAGGCTCCTGAGGACCTACTCCCAAGTCAGGCACCCTCATTCACACAGCTTTTCTCTTGAAGTCCTCCCAAAAGCTCTGTCAGTTTCCACAGGAAGAAACAAGGTATGAGCCAAGGAGTACCCCATCAAATGCTGTAGCTTCTCTCTGGACCCCCAAGCCCTCAGCATACCAACTGGGTCTAGCTTGCACCTGGCCTTCCATAGTTTGTGGGGCAGATGAGTTCACCAGGGGGTCCTGGGAAGGGAGGACTGGGTACAGTTCCCAACATCGCCCCATGTGCTTTGGGCCTGAAAGAACTTGGGTAGCACCATAAGTAATAGAAACCAGGCCAAGGACTTAAAAGACAAAAGGTCTTCCGGGGCTTCTGTTGTGTGTGTGTCAGGGTTGGGGGCTTGTGGAAAGGAGGTTTGGAGGCCTGAAGGGGTTCCCAGGATTGGGTGTGCATGTCCTAGAGGGGTGGGTGAGTCTTTGCCTCTTGGGGGTGGGAGAGGGCTGGGAGGAGGTCTTTTCTTTCATTGGTTGTGTGGCCCTGCCCTCCTCCCCCTCCTTCTCCTGGAACATTCCAGACATTCCAGACTGCCATTGCTTTCAGGATATGGATTAAAACCCCAAACTGAGATTTGATTTCCTCACCCCATCTCCTCCCCAACTTTTCCCTACCCTGAAAAGAAAGCCCCTAAATCTGGGAGTTTGAAGTAGTAGTAGGAGGAGGGTATTTTTGATCTTCGACCTGAGATTACACTAAGGGACAGTCTTGAAAGAGCTGTCTTCACACTGAGCCTCCTGCCTGGGGGTTGCTTTAAGCCCTTACTGGTTTGAATTCCCAGGCAGGCAGCCCTAGAGGGAGTGACTCCTGTCATGGGGCATCAAGCTAGGTCAGTGTCCTCAGTCTTCCAATGGTGTAACCATCTGTTCCTCAATTCTCCAACAGTTGGACTTTGATTGTGACGGTTCCTGCGTTTTCTCAGCCTGTTTGGCTGGGCCAAACACAAAATGAGTGTTATATGGGACATCCCTCACTAGGCTAGATGCCATGGGGCCCCCTCTTTTGCCTATGAATGGAATCAAAGAGAGTGGGCTGGTGTGGGGTCTGACGACTGGACTTGTTTCTTATCCTTGCTCTCGTCCTGCAGTGTAGTCTGACGACTTTAGATCAGATTCATGAACCACCCAAGGTAGAGAGCCATACATGTAGATTCCCTTCAACATGTATCCTCCTTTTCCCGGAAGTCATTTTGTCCCAGGAAGAGGTTTCCTTTGTGTATTTCATCAGTAAAGACTTTCCCTGCTCAGAGCTGCACAATTAGAAGGGATCTTAAGAGACCCTCCAGTTTCCATTTTGCAGCTGTAAGACACTTAAGGTCACAGGGATGGAATGAGTGAGCTGGCCTAGGACAGAGCCAAGAGGGAAACATTTACGGTGAGAGCTTAGCATCCCTTCCTCACGTGTTTTCAACATCCCCCTCCCCTAGCAAGCTAGGAGCTGACAAGGGCCTGGTAGGAACACTGAGGCCTGAAGCTTACATGGCTTAGTCAGATGAAGACCCAGGCAGGGGTAGTTTAAGAGCAAGAACTGGATTTTCTTGCTTCCCAGGCCAGCTTTCCCTCATGTTGTTAGAATTTCATTGGACCATGTCCCTGAACTAAGTTTGTGATCAAGGATATGCTGAGACATAAATGACAATTGACCAATGAAGATCAAGTCAATTGAAATGTTGTAAGCCCAGGGATTAGGGCATCGATTTGGGTAGTGAGCAGTTAATTGCCCTGGGAATCAACCTTGAACCTGAAAGCCTTCCTGGGGAAAATTACACTTTTAAGAGGTATTTGAAAGATGGGAAGGAGAAAGAGAAGTCATTTGGAAGGAGGGAAGGTGGCGGTCCTGATGCTGTGTTGTGTGTTAATCGTTTCCACCTTAGTATTCCAAATGCGTCTGTTACTGCACTTTAAGTACTTGAAGCCCTTTGCTAAGCTCTAATATTATCTAACATCACCTGAAACCACCCTGTGAATAGGTATTATCCCTGTTTTACAGGGAAGGAAAGTGAGCCTCGAAGTGAAATAATTTTAAGATCAGTGCTGTTAAGTGGAACAGAGATTTAAATCCATACCTGTATAAAAAACACTTAATTACCACACTATTATTCTCCTGTCATTTGTTTGCATGTGTGTCTCTCCCAACAAATTGTGAGCACCTTGAGGCCAGGTACTTTGTCTCTTTTGTTTGTCACCGTATCCCCAGTATCTAGAACAAAGTATAGCCTGAAGTAGGCAACAGTTAAATGGGTATTGGATTAATGAATGAGGTCTCTGTAGCAGCGTTGTATTCCTAGTGCCTGAAACATGGTGGGAGATACGAGGTGAAAATAGGTGGTTAGTGAAGGAAAGAGCAGGGCGAGAACTGAGCACAGTGGACAAAAAAGGCAGGTGTGATTTGAGGGGAGTTATGTTACCCTGGTGCTTCGGGCCTCTGAGCTCAGTCTTCTAACTGTCCTAGCACTGATAATTTACACTCTTGAAGTGAGGCACCCTTCCACCAAATCTTCATTCCCAAAGGTTATCGTTCTTGGATTCTCAGACTTTGGTGTTGAACAGAAGGTAGGGAGATACAGCCTGACATAGGGATTAAACACTGCCAGGTCATACATAGGCCCCTAAAGCATCCAGAGCGGTCATTAATCCTGTTCCCTCTAATTTCAGGAGTCGGAAAATTCAGATTCGAAACATCCCACCCCAGCTCCGTTGGGAAGTAAGTGATTGGGGGAAACTCGAGACATGGGGAAGTGGAGACTGGAAAGGAAGCCCGGGCCAGTCTGAGTTGGCAGAGATGACTGGGGAGGTCCGCTGGTGGTTTGGGGGTTGGCCAGGGATGCTAGTACTGAGGGAGTTGGTTGGTTCTCATCCTCAGCCCAGGACTACCCGTGTTAGTCCTTTGGGCTTGTCCCTGTGATGAGAGGCATTAGGAAGGTGGGTAGGGTGTTCCCTGAGCCCCAAACTTAGACCCCAGAGGCCCAAGTCTACTTCCAAAAAGGCCCTTAGATGCCTTTTTGTTGTGCTCAAGTACATTTCTGCAAAGATGCCCTGACAGGTTACTGGCAGTTATCAGTACCCTAGAAGGAGTAAGTCAAAACAGGTCATACTACTCAGTCCCCACCTAATGCTCTGCTGTGCCACCATGCTTTGGGGTGAGGGTGTCCGGTGGCTGGCTTCGTGACAGTTCCTGGGATGCTCAGAATAGCCTTCCTCTCTTCTCTCGTCCATGCTCCTAGGTGCTGGACAGCCTGCTTGCTCAGTACGGTACAGTGGAGAACTGCGAGCAAGGTAAGGGTACAGAGGCAGTGGGCAGTGGGGAAGTGGGGGGTGGGTGCTGGAGCAGTTTGGGGGATCTGCTCTGCTTCGTTTTCCACGACCACATCCACCTGGCATACCAAAAGCAGACAAGGCAGACAGACAGAATATGGCACAAAGGGAGATACACACACGGGGGACGTGGGCATGTCGTCCCGGCTTTCTTCTCTCTGGAACAGGTTTCTCTGTTTAATGAGCAAAAGTCACTCATTTCCAGCATGGGGTCCCAAGCTCTTAGGGGTCAGTCACGGTCGAAAGAGAGGTCTGAAGGGTTTAGCAGCATGGAAATGGGGCACTCAGCCTGAGTAAGTCTGCAGCCCCTTTACTTTAAAAGCTTCATGATTCTCTATGTTTGGCTGGAATAGTCAACTGGTTATTTCTTTATAGAAGCCCTGATTGTCAGCTACATGTCTTCGGTCAATTAAAAAAAAAAAAACCAGAGATTTTATTACTGGGCACATAGTGATGGGCAGGCACAGTCTTGCAAGAGTGGGCCCACAGGAGAAATACTAAGAAATCTGGGTCGTAAAATATTTGCTAAGATTTCTGAGGTTTCTCCATTGCTTCAGGTTATAAATAATTTTCAGAGGAAATGAGCTAAAATAAGGATGGTTTTGGTTGACACAAGGTAGAGCTTGTCCATTCGAGAAGATACAAGTGGAGTTTGTAGATCTTCAGGAAGCATAAAGAATCACCCCATCGAGATGTAAATGCTCATCTCCATTTTCTTTGGAAAGGTGCAAGCTAGAAATCACTCTAGATTAAAATACTTGCCTGCACATAGGTAAAGTGCTGAGTCCATCAAACAGGTTCTCCAGCTCTAATCCTGTGGGTTGCCTTTTTATCATAAATGCCAGGACACAGCTGGACACACTGATAACCATTGCCCAGTACTGCTCACGCGTTAGACTAATGACTTAGTTACTCCTGGACAGATAGCAAGAATGAGTGCTGGCTTGGGAGCACATTGTGAGCCACCCTGGGAGGCCCCGCAGGAGTCCACGATAGCTCAAATCTGTCTGGGGCTCACCCGGGAGCTGTAACACACCATATCAGGAGGGGAGACCCGTTCCCTGGAGAGAACACAATGGGAAATGTTTGATTTTGTTGGACAACAGAGAAAGTCTGGTGTCACTTTCTAAGTGAAGTCCTTTCTATCCACTCTTTAAAATCGCACCCCTTCCCACTACCTCCTTTAGCCTTGATTTACATTTCTCCATGGCCATCATCAACCCATCTGATAGGTTAGAGAATTTGCTTATTGTACTTCACGTTGTCTGCTGCCGTAAGCTCCAGGAAGGCAGAGCCTTCGTTGGTTTCATTCATTACTGTGTTTTAGTTTAACTGGAAAGATTGCTCTTGGCGGAATCTCCCTTACTCACGACTGTGGTGGGGGAGCTCTGTGGATGAAGGCCAGAGGGGTTTAGAGTGGTCTGTGCTGAAGGTCTGTGGCCAGATGACTTATCCTCAGGATGATAGGGGCAGAGGCTTGGTTTTTGTCACTGTCCTCCACCCCAGGCCTGAGCTGGCCTAGGGAACCCCAAATCAAAAGACAGACACAAGACACGTTAATTTTATTAATTTAAGAAGTGTGCCCCCAGACCGCCTGGAATTCTATTGTCCAGCCCAGTCTCTCCCTGTAGGAAAGAGTATATGGCAATATCCAATGAAGACCAAGAGGTTTCATGATAAGAACAGAGGACTTGGATGGGAATAATGGCAGGTGCCATGGATTTATGATGGATTGAATGTGCATTTCCACTGCCAAGATGTTTGGAAGACTGAGTCAGGAAATCGCCACCCCTGGGTTCCCCAGTAGCTGCTCCTCTCAGCCCATTTAGCTTGGGTTATGATACACTCACGTGTGGTCCATCTATCCTTGAGGATGCTCTGCAGTGGAAGTGGGTCTCTTCGCTGTATTCTTAGAGACCATGTTGGGATGTTTGCTTCTATAAATTGCTAATCTTACGGTGTGTGCATTTTTAACTAGTTTAGCTTCCCAAAAATAAATTCGTCTCCCAGACCTGGTGTGTGCGCTCCCTGCCGCCTAACCGCTATGCTGACTTCAGCACCCTTTTGTCGCCCAGCTCTCTTGGCCGGGGGGTGGGGGTGGGGTGGGAGGGGTGGTGGCCAGGGGAGATCAAAAGAAGACACAGGAGGGAAAATGCAAAAAGGTTAATTTGAATTTTCTAGGAGTTCTGGAGAGAGGGGCCTAAAGGGCAAATAGTTTGCCTTGTCATTCAGGTATTTCCTTATTACAACACATGTAACTTCTTATAACCTTATAACCTGAAAGGATGAGCTGTTAACACTTGGAGTTCATTGGCGGCATCTCCAGATCTTGCTGCTCTAACCTTGGCCTCTGTTTTGCTCCCCCCAGTGAACACCGAGAGTGAGACTGCAGTGGTGAATGTCACCTATTCCAACCGGGAACAGACCAGGCAGTGAGTGGGCTGGAAAGCGGGGCGGGGCGGGTCTTCGCGGGTTGTTGGGAGCCAGGTGCGCGCGCTTCTCCACGGCTGGGGTCCAGGCAGGCAAGAGCGCCTTCTGTTACTGGGATAGCCAGTCGCAGACTCTTTTTGGTTCAGGTTCAGGGATCTCAAGGTTTCAGAAACTTATCAGGTTTGGTAGCAAATCCATGGACGGGAAAGGACCCAAAGACCCTCCCAGGAAAGGTGGGAAATCCTCTGTAGGAGAAAAAGTGGGCTTTGCGTTGGGTCACCAGGTGCCCCAGCACTGCAAGCGTCCTTTGCTGTGTTGGCGGCGCCATCTAGTGATAGTGAGGAGGAACTGCGAGGTTTACAAAAGGGATTTGTTCACGTTCTGATGTGGCGGGGGCAGACATTTTATTGCGGTGATGCCACGAACCCCGATTGTGCTATAGTCCCATCACACCTACGGTTTTTAGCTCCTTAAGCCCTTTGGTTGAGGAACTACACGTCTCACCCACTGGTACTGACAGACTTTGTACACTTTGTTCATTTACTCACTTATATCCCACCCGCTACAGGCTTTTTGCCACATTTAGCTTTTGACAGCTTTCTTGTGCCTTCAGCATGCTGCCTCTAGCTGGGTGATGATACATTTTAAAGATTTTATTTATTCATTCGAGACACAGAGATAGAGTATGAGCAGAGGGAGAGGCAGAGGGAGAGGGAGAAGCAGGCTCCCCGCTGAGCAGGGAGCCCGATGCGGGGCTCAATCCCAGGACCCTGGGATCATGACCTGAGCCAAAGGCAGACGCTTAACCATCGGAGCCACCCAGGCGCCCCTTAAAAGTTTATTTTTAACTTCTCTCTACACCCGACGTGGTGCTCGAACTCAGGATCCCGAGATCAAGACTTAGCACACTCTACTGACCGAGCCCGCCAGGAGCCCTGTCCCCATTTTCTTTTAAGTGGCTCTCTGGGCTCAGGATTTTCTGGAGGTCCCTACTGCCCCTTGTGGCTAGTCTGTGGTCCTTAGCCTGGCTCTAAAGGTCCTGTCAGTACTCGGCTTACTCCCCACTGCCTGTTGCTGCCTTGTTAACATTTCTAACCTGCATCAGCCGGTGTGGAACTGGATGGAGCTTGCCTCCTCCCCTCCCACAGTGTTATTCACTCCTGCTTTGCAGACATTCCAGATAGACTTAAAGTCCTGCTTCCAAGCTGTAAGCAAGACATTCCATCTCCAACCCTATTTTTTTTTTTTTATAGTCTCCTCAAACATGGAAGGTGCCAGACTCAACAGGTGTAAAAACAAGTCTCTTGTTTCATCATGTGTTTATTATATTTTTTCACTTATCATGAATCACATGTGATTCTCACATTAATCTTATGAGATGCGTAGTTCTGGCTGGAATTAATAAACCAATTCAAAATTCATTGGGAATAACTTAATTTAGGTTTCCCTTTGATGTCTTCAGCTGTTTAGACTGGCAAGTGCTCTTGAGGTGGAGGTGGGAGTGGTGGGTAGGTGGTCATCTCCCTTGTTTTTAGTGTATTCCAAGTTGTAACCCAGAGTGCTTTACACACGGAATGCCTTTGGTGTGGTTGGCATGGCGTGACCAGTAGACTCTCCCTCTGTCCTCAGAGCCATCATGAAGCTGAATGGCCACCAGCTGGAGAACCACGCCTTAAAAGTCTCCTACATTCCTGACGAGCAGATAGCACAGGGTCCTGAGAATGGGCGCCGCGGAGGCTTTGGCTCTCGGGGTCAGCCCCGCCAGGGCTCCCCTGTGGCAGCGGGGGCCCCAGCCAAGCAGCAGCAAGTGGATATCCCCCTGCGGCTCCTGGTGCCAACCCAATATGTGGGTGCCATCATTGGCAAGGAGGGGGCCACCATCCGAAACATCACGAAACAGACCCAGTCCAAGTGAGTCTTGGCTGCTGGGCACTGGGAGCTGGGGTACCACCTGATAGCACACTGGGGAGTCTCAGTATTTACGTTTCAGGAAATGTTGCCTGGGATATGTTCCCATTTCTCTTCATTGTGAGATGGGGGTGGTTACTGCTCCAATTGCAGAGTCCTGGGAAGGTGGGGAATTTGAATGGGCCTGGTGCATGCCATTTGGTGGCAGTGGCTGGGCCAGACCGTTATTAGGAGGAACGGTTCTAGAATTTCTTGTAGGATGTGTCATCAAGCAAACCTAGTCTAGATGAGTCAGTCACTCCGGTGCACTGTGGGTTCAGCACTGCCTGTTGGTGGCCACTGGGCTGGGCAGCTTGGCCAAAGCCAGCCCTCGGTAATAGGTCATTATCCTGCCCCATCTCCAGTTCCACTACTGTTACCCCTCTAACCTCTTTTTTAAAATTTGACTTTATTTTATTTTTTTTTTAAAGATTTTATATGTTTATTTGACAGAGACACAGTGAGAGAGGGAACAGAAGCAGGGGGAGTGGGAGAGGGAGAAGCAGGCTTCCCGCGGAGCAGGGAGCCCGATGCGGGGCTCGATCCCAGGACCCTGGGATCATGACCTGAGCCAAAAGCAGACGCTTAACGACTGAGCCACCCAGGCGCCCCCGACTTTATTTTTTTTATTTGTGTGTAGTGACCCCTCTTCTCTAATCTTTATAGCTAATCGGGGTACTCTGGAAAAGAACAGGTCGCACCATGCCCTTATTCCGAATGCATCCTTTATTATTTACTTTTAATTTGGGACAGTGTGCCGTCCCTTTATAGTTTTACAGGGGAGAATCCAGCATTTAAGGGGAATGCAGCTTTAGAGCTGTGGGCTGCTGATTGCCAGCCCTGTGTTCCTATGCCAGATGCCACCATCGTCCGTCCCGTCCCCCCCCCCCCCGCCCCACCTCCTGACTGGGACAGAATCCAGAGCAGCAGGCTGGCCTGGGTTCCCTTGGCCTTTTCTCTGCCCTTCCCTGTTCTGCACTGGGACTTGTTCCAAGAGCCGTTTCTGTACTTTTGGTCGAGGAGAGGTGGTAAGGGGGGGTGAAGAAGACTCTGGGTTTCACCAGGGACCCCTAACCATCCTTGACCTTGTGGTCCTTAGGATAGATGTGCACAGGAAGGAGAATGCAGGCGCTGCGGAGAAGGCCATCAGCGTCCACTCGACCCCTGAGGGCTGCTCATCTGCGTGTAAGATGATCTTGGAGATTATGCATAAGGAGGCAAAGGACACCAAAACGTAAGGCTCTTATTCAGCGTTTCTCGTAACGAGGGGAGTGCCACCTCCCCTGTTCCGACACACTGTTTATTTGCAAGAATGCAGGGATAAATAGGTGACGAAGGACATAAACTGAGACACGAGGTCCTCCTTTGCACAAGTAACGCCCTGTATACCCTCTTAGCAGTTCTGTGCACTGACAAGCGTGTGTGTCTGTCTGTATACGTGCGTGTGCACAGGTGTGCATGCGCATGTTTTAGCACAAACAGGACTGTAACGAATGTGTTCTGTAGTTAGCTTTTTTCACATTTATGGATCAATAATTACTGACCCATCTCAATTCTTTCTAAAACTGCATGGAATTCTGTAGTGTGGCTATTTAAAAGTATACAACCGAATGAGTATTAATACGCACATATCTGCAAAACCATCACCACGGTTATGATAACGAGCATGGCCGTCACTCTGGTAGTCCCCGTGGCCCTTGGCGGCCCATCCCCATGTGCCCATTTCTCAAGCGCTAAGCAACCACCAATCTGTTGATTTTTGTCATCTCTTAAAATGTAGCTTTGTCCCGGAAACCCCGCACCTGCGGTGGCATGCTGACCGTGTCCCTGCGTGGCCCAGCATTTAACAGCTCCTGTGCCTCTCTCCTTTCCAAGGGCCGACGAGGTTCCCCTGAAGATCCTGGCCCATAATAACTTTGTGGGGCGTCTCATTGGCAAGGAAGGGCGTAACCTGAAGAAGGTGGAACAGGACACGGAGACAAAGATCACCATCTCCTCGTAAGGCTCTCAGTTACTTGTCTGTGGCGGGGTGCCCGCGGGCTCAGGGCCGGCGGTGTGTCCTTGTTGGGCCTTCGTGCTTGGCCCTGTAAGTTGGATGCACTTTCTGCTCTATTGAAGAATAATCAGTGACATGGCAAAGAGCGTTTATCTCTGTGAGGGCTGGGGTTGCCGGAGCGCATCCTTCCGTCCTCTGGCCTGCCCATCACTCCTATCCCCTGCATCTCAGAGAGCCTGCAGCTAGGGCGGGGTCTCAGGCATGTTTACCGGTCCATGAGAAGCAGACCGACTCAGGTCCTGGTCTGAGGATTGGGTGTCGGGGCCTGTCTCTCCTGGAAGAACCAGAGCCAAGCAGATCGACTACCTCTTCTGTGAGCACTGTGCCTCTTCATTTCATCCCAGACTCGCTCTGTTCGAAAAGTACAGGAAATGGGTTGCCTAGAACCACTGGAGAAACTTCCAGTCCTGAGCATCCTCCTTGCTTTACCGGTGGTGAAAACCTGTGATTGGACTCATCGCAAATCGAGGGGTTTCAGTTGGGCGTTCTCCTCTCCCTGTACCTTGCTCCCTCCCTGCCCGGGTTACAGACTGAAGGCCAGAGACGGGGAGCTATTTGCTGAAAGTGAAACAGCCTGCAGGAGCTGTTTCTGTGGCTGATTCCCAGCCGTGGCCCCTTCCTGGTGGGAGGATGACGTGGCTCTGCTCTCCCGCCAGGCTGCAGGACCTCACCCTCTATAACCCCGAGAGGACCATCACTGTGAAGGGGGCCATTGAGAACTGCTGCAGGGCGGAGCAGGAGATCATGAAGAAAGTTCGGGAGGCCTACGAGAATGACGTGGCTGCCATGAGTGTGAGTGCCAGAGGGCCAGGCACACTAACGCTCTGAGCCTGGGGCACCGCGGATGGGTGTCTCCACGTGGGGTGGGCAGGCCACACGCCTTTGGATCTCCAATCCTCCAGATCTTTTATGTTTAATGAATAGAGATTCTTTATCTGATTCCTGAGGTGGGGGTTGGATTTCATCGTGGGTTTCATCTTGGGTTTCAGAGTCTGTGGTCTTCCTATAAGATTGGTGTTTGTGTGTCCTTCAGTGAGGAGAGGGGCCGTAATTTTCATCTGATTTGTTTTTTTAAGATTTTATTTACTTACTTCAGAGATAGAGAGCATGAGAGCCAGGGCGAGCCGGGGGTGGGGGGTGGGGGGGGAGGAGCAGAGGGGGAGAGAGAAGGACAAGCAGACTGTGCATTGAGTGCGGAGCCCAACTTGGGGCTCGATCCCACAACCCTGAGATCATGACCTGAGCCGAAATCAAGAGTCGGACACTGAACCGTCTGAGCCACCCAGGCGCCTCTCATCTGATTTTTAAAAGGGAGTGAGGATGTGGAGTACAGGAAAAAAGGTGAGCCCTGGAGTCCAACGGAGATCTGTTGCTGCTGTGCCTTCTCATAGGAATGTTCCAGGGCAGGGTTAGTGGAGTAAACCACCAGAGAGATGGGACATCTGAGGCTCTGGTTGACCCTTCTGGTTGGTGATGCTGGTTCTTGGTCCAGCAGTAATGTCCCATCACTCACAGCTCCACGCTCTAAGTGTATGTGCGTGTGTGTGTGTGTGAGAACCGGAAGGGCAGGCAGGTTTTGTGCAGAAGCACCCGGTTCTCCTGTGTTCACTCCCCCCCCACCCCTCCCACCCCTCCCACCCCACCCTAGCACTGCCTTCTGGATTCAGCCAGGCCCTGCATCACGAGCTGACCTCTCCCTCCTTACCTTCCTTCCCCAGCTGCAGTCACACCTCATCCCCGGCCTGAACTTGGCAGCTGTAGGTCTGTTTCCAGCCTCGTCCAGTGCGGTCCCGCCACCTCCCAGCAGCGTCACTGGGGCTGCTCCCTACAGCTCCTTTATGGTAGGTGCAAGATCTCCTCACGGGGCCGGGGGGCGGTGGTGGCGGCGGGGGGGGCTGGGCCCTTCCATGGCCTCCCTTAGGGTCCAGCCCCCTGCGGGAGCCTGATGCTTAGGAATTTGCAGAGAGAGGGAAGGGAGGTCTGGGATGCCCCTCTTGGGCAGTACTCCCAGTCGTGTGCACAGCGTCTCAGATGCCGCCTGGGTTGCCGGCAGCCCTCTCCCTTTGTCCTTGGGGCCCTGGGGAGAGCCAAGGAGTGGGTCGCCCACGTTGGCCGCCGGGTGTCTCCCTTCTTCTCTTTGAGGCTGCACGCCCCGGGGGTGTGGAAGGGCTTCCAGGCTGTGTCCCTCGCCCCTGGTTGTAACACGCCCTGTCTCGGCAGCAGGCTCCGGAGCAGGAGATGGTGCAGGTGTTCATCCCGGCGCAGGCAGTGGGTGCTATCATCGGGAAGAAGGGACAGCACATCAAACAGCTCTCCCGCTTCGCCAGTGCCTCCATTAAGGTGACCTGCTCTGCCTCCTTCCAGGTCCTGGGAAGAGGGCAGCACCCTGCTTCCACCCCTCAACCTTTCTTTCCGCTGTTGTGTGGTCTGTTTCTCTGACGGATTGTCATCCCCTTTGCATATGACCTTGCCCGGGGCCTTCGGCGCTCCTGGGCTTCCGGCCAAGGGAGGAGGCGGAGTTGCCGCATAGGAGGATCGTTTAGGTTCTGGTCCAGACTGACGTGGGTTCAGCCTGCAGCCCCTAAGCTAAGGCCGTCAGCCTCAACCACTGTTCCCTTGTCACTGCGATCATTGTCCTAGTGCCGTGAAGTGACACAGCCGGTGCCCCGCTCGGCCAGCGCCCGGCGCTCAGGGGGGTGGGATGGGGGTTTGCGGTAGATGCCAGCTGTGTTTTTGCCCCCCCTTGGCCGGGGTCCAGCGCAGAGAGAAGGGAGGGTCTGTCCTCGTGAGAGTTTCACAAGCCTAAATCCAGTTGTGTCGGTGGTCCTAAAGGACTTGGTCAGACGCAGGGATTCTTTTCTGCTGAAGTGTGGTCCCTGCCCTCCTCGCTGTGGGCATTTTGTCTATTACCCTCTCTGGGCAGGACCCCATGGAAGCCTCCGCGGGAAGCTGGGAGGGTGGGCGGTGAGGAGGGAATGTCCCTGGAACACACGCACCCACGTCCTCATCACATTTTCGGTGCAAGGGCGATGCCCTTGGGGCTCAGGGCCTTTGTTCTCGCCTCTCCTAGCCCTCGGAAGTAGGTGGTGGAAGTGGGGTGGTGGCAGGGGGCTTGGAGGAGGTGGAGGTAGGGGGCACCTCTTTGACCAGATCTTTGCTTTCTAGATTGCTCCTCCTGAAACTCCTGACTCCAAAGTTCGTATGGTCATCATCACTGGACCCCCAGAGGCCCAATTTAAGGTTCTCATCTTTGTTTTTCCAAAGAAAAGGAATCGAGGGTGGGTGGGAGTGCAAATCTGCATAACACTTAAAAGTTTTTTATCTATTTATTTAAGTAATCTCTACACCCAATGTGGGGCTTGAACCCACGACCCCCAAGAGCAAGAGTCTCATGCTTTTCTGACTGAGCCAGCTGGGTGCCTGAGAACAGCATTGCAATGCTGCTTTCAATTTGGCATCAGACTCAACTTTTTTTGACTTCTTCCCTCTTTCCTTCTGAAGGTGAACAGAACTACGGGACAGAAGGAAGGCTGAGGGCTTCTTTCTGGTGCCCTGCCTTCGTTAGGAAGGAAGATCCTTGATGCCCAGTTCCCTTGTCTTCTTCATGTCCTACTGCATTGCTGGGTCCCTGAACTGCTGGTCACAGAGCCAGAGAGCTAACAGTTAGCTCCTGCTGACCTAGGCAGGGATGGAGAAGGGGATGCTCTCGAGGCTGTCCGACAGCCTGTCCTCTGGCTGACTTGATCAGCTGCCTTATTCACCTAAATGAGATCATCCCAGACCCTGTAGGGTTGTGTAGCTTATGAATTGTACTTTTGGGAAGTATGTGTTCAGTTACTGTACCCAGGCTCTCCAGTATTGCAAGGAAGCAGAAGGAACAGGTCACTGCTCTTGACCATTTTCATATCCCCCGGTGTAGATGGTTGATGCACCCATGGGCTGGGCCTGTGGGGCCAGAGAGGATGGGGTGGAGCTTGGGGGCTCTATTTCCACATTTACCTCACTTCCCTTTTGTCATGTGTATGGCCTGCTGATTAACAAGGACCTCCTTCTCTCAGGCTCAGGGAAGAATTTATGGAAAACTCAAGGAGGAGAACTTCTTTGGTCCCAAGGAGGAAGTAAAGCTGGAGACCCACATCCGGGTGCCGGCGTCAGCTGCCGGCAGGGTCATTGGCAAAGGCGGCAAAACGGTGAGCCTTCAGACCAGGGATGAACCTTCCAGATCTTAGTCCTCAAACCCCGTAGCTCTGCCCTGGCCTCCTACTCCCCTACCCCGTGCAATAAGACTCCCGACTTTCTCCTTTACCCAGTTCTCCTCCCCAGCCCGGCTCCTGGGTCCTCCAGTTACCTGCTAGGGACTCGCCTCTTACCCCTCCCTCCAGCCCCCTCCGTGCTTTCTTGATAGCACCCCGAACTTCTCTCTGCCCCCCACCTCCCCCAGGTGAATGAGTTGCAGAATTTGACAGCAGCCGAGGTGGTGGTGCCAAGAGACCAGACCCCGGATGAAAATGACCAGGTCATCGTCAAGATCATCGGACATTTTTATGCCAGCCAGGTACACGTGGCACAACTCCCCACCCCCCACCCCACCGCCACCTCGTGGGAAGACAGCAGAAGCCCAAGGGTTGGAGAAGCAAGAGGCCAGATGTTGATTTGCATAGCTTTGACCATGGCTTTGACCAGTCCCGTGGACTTCTGCCTGCCTCTGGACTGGGCCATTCTTTTCCAAGTGTAGGACTGTGATGTGTAGATGTTTTATCCCCTCTTAGAACTGTAGGGAAAGGGATTTGAGAACTTCTATATATAGTATATATTCTACATGGTGACTAGTATTTTTCTGTGTTACTTGCTATATGTTGTCTTTCCTGTTGTCTGATTTTAGTCCTTCGCTCACCCCTTTTGCACCAGATAAAAAAGGAAATTGGTATTACCCACCACCCAGTCTTGTTTGTGGAATAATAACAGTGGTAACAACATTCTGGATTGCCTTTTTCTAGTGCAGTCCCTTTGCCTTCCTCACAATGACTACTCCATCCCTGGTTCCAGTTCTACTGTCCCATTCCAGAACTTACCAGCCCCATACCACCTCCAGGGGCCCAGTCGGCACTGCCTGCCATTGGTACTGACCCCAGAGTCTGGAAAGAGGGTGGATATCAGGTTCAAACGCTCTGAATCTTAAAAGTCAGAGAAAGGTTGATTGAAAGGTAGTGAGGTTTCCCTAAAATCCTCCGGCGTTGGGACTGGAAGGGATATGGAGACTCCTGGACACAAGCTCTTCTGTTCAGAGGATACACTTCCAAAGCTAGATGCTGCCAAAGAGGTCAAGGGCAGTACAGGATCCCGGAAACCCGAACCCCAGCTTTCGGCTCCCAATGTGGGGTGGCCACACAGCGCCAGGAACAGGGGTTTTGGAGGCAGAGGGCTTTGCGCTCAGACCCCACCATGGCCTTTCTGTTGTATGGCCTTGGCTAAGAAACTTTCTGTGACAGTCCTTGGAGAGGTATCAACAAGAGCCACGATAGTATCTAAGACTTATGGGTGCATCTGATATACCAGGCAGCATTCTGTGTGGTTCACGTATATTAGCTCATTTAATCCTCATGACAACCTCATTGTACAAATGAGGGGTGTGGTAGTGTGAAGGATAAGTGGGGGGGTGGTGGTGGTGGTATTTTTCATGGGTTAGAATGAGAATTAGAGGGAAATCTTTGTAAACTGTCCGCTTGTGGCTGACTGAGTAGGAAGTAATATAAATCCTGAGTCCACAGCCTTTCCCCCACCTACACCACCTTTCTCTTGAACCAAGAGACCAAGCACTCCGTTTATGGAAGGAAGTGATTCTGGTAAAACGGTTAGGGGCACCCTAACTGTTGCAGTTGGTTTCCCTTGCAGAACTCCGTCCTTAGCGAAGAAACCTTTAAGAAGGAAAGAGTAAAGAGACGGATCCTTGGGTATTTTGTCCATTTTTTACGGTGGAGCTTAGGTTTCACTGCTTGTTTGTAAATCCGTGTCTGGACGTTCCATCCCCTTCACTGGGAGCTCTGATTTGTGAGGAGGTCTCCTACCTGATGATCCTCTGACCAAACATACACCTGGAAACTCCAGGGCTTTTATTTTGGGCTCAGTAGCCTGTGTGGCAAGTTTGTCAATTTTTCCATTCTGGTGAATGAGTTTGTACTCCGTCCGCTCCCCCCCTCCCCACTGCGGTGGGCGCTGCTCAGGACCCAGGGGGAGGCAGACAAACTTTAGGTCCCACTCATTCTCTCTCTCTCTGTTGTGTTTGTTGCTGGTGTCTAGGTCCCGATGGCTTCTCTCCCCTGGGGTCAGTCTCTCTCCTTGCCTTTGGGGATCTTCACTCTTGCCTCTTCTCTGGTTCTCCCACAGATGGCCCAGAGGAAAATACGAGACATCCTGGCCCAAGTTAAACAGCTGCACCAAAAGGGACAGAGTAACCAGGCCCAGGCACGGAGGAAGTGACCAGCCCCTCCCCATCACGTCGACTCAAGGACAACGGGCTGAAATCGAGAGCGTGTTCTCCCCAGCAGGCCTGAGAATGAGTGGGAATCAGGGACACTTGGGCCGGGATGTAGATCAGGTTTGCCCACTTGCTTGAGAAAAGACGTTCCAGTGAGGAACCCTGATCCCTCGGCCCCACACGCCCAACCAATTGGCCCGACACTGCCCACCCCTCAGGGTGTCACCATGGAAATTTCTAGCTCAGGGTGCTTTTAAACGTGGATTGTTTTAAGTAAGTTCTCCAGGTCCCACCGAGAGGGTGGGTCAGACCCCAGTGGGAAGAGAAATAAAATTTCCTTCAGGTTTTTCAATCATGCAGAGGGGTGTTTTAATCAGCCTCAAAGGATGGTTTGCTTCTTGACCCTAAAATCCTTCCAACCTTCTCCTGCTTGGTCCGTTGATTAAAATACCTCTACTCTCGTGCCCTGACATAGCCTCTTCCTATATAGCCTCTTCCTATAGTCACACGAATTGTTCTGTTACTGCTACCAGAAAAAGTGGGAACCAGTGCATTGCTTTGCTTACGTTATTGATTCAAAGGAGCAGACACACCAGCATCTGTAGTTTATTATCCCACTCCTTCCCTAACCAACCAATAGGAACAGCAAGGAATAAAGAATGGGGGAGAAATATGATTAAAATATATAGTAATCCACGTTTAAAAGGAGTGCCCTTATGGCTGATCTAGTCCAGATCACCATCTTGAAAAATTGGCGCAATTAAAATTTTCTCCGCTCTGTCGGGACGTCCCCACCAAGATTCCCTGCCCCATTCACGTCCTCCTACCCATCTAGGTGCACATGGGTGGTACTGAATGCTCAGCGGGATAGGGGATGACCACTGTACTGTCCCTGATTCCCATCATTCTCAGGCAGATTTTATATTTTTTTAAAGTCTATTTTAATGATTGGATATGAGCACTGGGAAGGGGACATGACTCCCCTTGATAAAGTCTCAGTTCCATGGAGGACTTGAGTGGCCCCAAAGGCTGCCACTGTGCCCTCACTCCAGCCCATGTGCTCCTATAAGGGCTGGTTCCCAGAGGCAAGGGTTGCGGGGCACTCCCCCGCCACGGCACTGTTCCCTTGGTGGTGGTGGGATGTGGAACCCAACCCTGAGCTCCCGGTAAAGCTGAAGCCCGTCATCTGGCATGTATTACGAATATTCAGTAAATTGGAGAGTATTTGCTTCTGTTTTTATCCTAGAGGCGTATTTAACCGATGGCTTCTGCCTCTGTCAGTCATTGGCATGACCAAAGTTGTGCCTGAAAACAAAATTCAAAATACCAGCAGCATTATGCACAAAAGGGGTAAATAACCTTAATTTATTAATTTACTAGGCTCAATAAGATCCAGTTGGAAGTTCAGTCCTTATGGAAGACGGCAGCCATCAGTTAAATGAGGTTAGGCCTCCCCTCCGAATACACTGATTGTCAATGCATATTAGCCAGGTGGTGCACTTTAGCTACCTTGGACAATGCTATCAAGTGTGCTGGGAAGGGAGGAAGGCCTCTCTGCATGTGGTAAAGCCCATGCGTGGAGTCCCCTCCTTCCAACACTGCCACAACGACAGTAGTAATAACGAGACAACCATGACACGTGGGCGGAGTCAGTCAGGTAATGCTGTGCGCGAAGTAAACTACCTCAAGGTATGAAGTTACCTCAGCAATTACTTTCCTTTTTGTTGCCCCCGCCTTTTTTTTAACCTTTTTTTTTCTTTGCGGCTTGCTGATATTTTATATAAAAAAAGAAAAGCAAAGCAAAAGAGAAGCTGATAGTCTTGAATATTTTATTTTTTTAATGAAAAGAAAAAAAACGAGAAAGTTATGTTTCATAATTTCTTACAACACGAGCCAGTGTAAGCCTTTAGGATCTCTCTATGGAGAACAGGCCCTGTGGGCAAGGCAGGAGGGGCTGGCTCTTTGGGAGGAGGCTGGGGCTGAGTGCGCAGTCCCGAGGTTGAGAGAGCCCAGGGGGAGGCCCTGATCTCTGACTCCCGGATTCCTACGTCACTGGGGCCTCTCTCCTGATCTTCCTGTTGGGATGCAGAGACCTAGCAGAGCTGTAGGCCTCCAGGGGCAAATAACAGTCCCTAGCAACCGGCCCCTGACGTCCGCCCCCTCTCTCCCTTTTTGGTTAAAGGGCATCCCAGCCAGTTTTCCCCACCAGTGGTGCTGTTGAGATATTTTAAAATATTGCCTCCGTTTTATCGAGGAGTGAAATAATAACTAAAAAATATACCCATTTAAAAAAAAACCCCTCTGTTTCTCTGTTTAGAAATATGGGAGCTAGATTCTGTTGGTGGGAGAGACAAAGCTGCTCTCTCACCCTCAGAGAGGTCCACCTGGTTTGTAATTGCAATCTTTTTCTTTTTCCTCCTCCTCCTCCTTCTTCTTCTTCTTCTTCTTTTTTTTTTTTTGTTATTTTCATTTCAGTCCCATCTTGCTGTTCTTTTTTGGTCTGTGTCAACAGACCAAGGAGCAGACAGACACTCGGATGACTGCTCCCTTGTCTCCTCTATCTTTAGATTGATCTGATTGATTTTAACAGTGGACCGAAACTAAAGGAATTGCTAATTTAGGGTGGTGGGTGGCCTGGAGGGGTAGGAGGTATGGAAATGTGATTGGGACAGGTTCCTGCCTCGCTCATGTCTTACCCCTTTGTCCCCATGACATTCCTTTTTAACCTCCAGAAGGGTCTACCCCAAAGAGAGGAGGATGCAGGAGAGCGTTTAGGGGTAATACGAGCTTCCCACCTGTCCTAACCCACAAAAAAAAGGGGGGTCTCCCAGCTTCCATCTCTGGCTCTCTATGCTTTATCCCAAAATGAAGCAGACAACATTCAGACATCGGCCATTTGGTGATTTAAGGCGAATTTCCAACAGCAAGCATGCTTTAATATCTGGTTCAGACTACCAGCAGGAAAAAAACAAAAACCACCCACAGTATCTGAAATGTGATTGTTGCAGTGTTCAGTTTCCTTGGAATCCTGCTCCCTTCACACCTGAAGCCCACGTCCTTTTCCTTTTGGCTGGTTCAGCTCTCAGAAGAGATCAGGAAGTGTGGCGAGGGACTATCCAATATGAGTTGAATTAGCACGGCTCCACTCATTGCTGACATTTGCCCAGCAGGAAGGTTGTGAAAGTTACCCTACCAGAAGCAGAAGGAATATGGTTTGGTGGTTAAAGTTTAGGGGAGATAAGGACCTGTCTTGGTGGGCCCACCTTTGACCCCTAGGCTAGGCTAGGTCTTGGGCCAGTTCCTTGTCCTCCCGAACATCACCTCCATTTCCCCATCCTTGGCGAGAGAAGTCAACGTGAAAAGCACTTGGGAGATTTGGATGATCTGAGAAAAGCGACTTTTTAAAAAACCACTTCTTATACTCGAAGATTATATATGTGTGTGTGTGTGTGTGCGCTACATATATATTTTTAAGAAAGGACCATCTCTTTAAGATATATTTTTTAATTCTGTGGAACACACAAAAAACCAAAATGGTTTGATTCACTAACTTTGAAGCTGCATCTGACAGTTAACACCCCGATGGCTTTAATCCCCTCTAGGATCTGGTTGCCATTTGCAGTTTGGATTGTGGACTCAGCTCCTCGGAGGGGTCTGGGTAGGAGAGAGCCGAGTGGAGGGACAGGGAATTTTATCCCCTGCTGCTCTCCACTCCCCCGCCCCCGACCCCAGGTCCTTGTTAGTCTTTATTCCTTTCCTCATGAGCTCTCCACTTCCAGGGGGGCAGTTGGGAGCTATTGCAGCAAAGACCCCATGTAAAGCCCAGAGAACACTGGGGGGGACACTCCAGGTGGCTCTTTGTCCGTTTTCCTCTGTGCCAAAGACAGACAGACAGAGGCTGAGAGAGGACGCTTCTGAATCAAAGCAGTAGCCATCTTTCGACACAGACTTGGGCTGTCTGAGGGGGGCTCCTGGAGACAGTGTGAGCTAAAGACGCGTCCCTTCCCTTCTGAGGCTCCTGGGGGACGTTGGGGGCGGGACTTGCCAAGGGGTAGGGAGCTGAGAAAGGGGTCTGTTGGCTCCTGGTTGCACTTTGGGGAAGGGGGGAAGGTTTGGGGCCCCTCCACGTGGGACTGCTCTCCGTCCCCTGCCCCCACTGCAGAGATAGCACGGCGAGTTCCCTTCAGGCCTGGCAGACTGGCAGCGAGGAGGGGCCTCAGTTAGCTCTCAAGGGTGCCTTCCCCTCCTCCCACCCCAGACATACCCTCTGCCAAACTGGGAACCAGCAGTGCTGCGTAACTACCTCACAGAGCCCCAGAGGGACCGCCCAAGCTTCCAGTTCATGAAGAAGCTGGCACCTCTAGTCAATCCTTTCCTCCCACCTCCCATCCAGGGGTGGGGGGAGATCCCAGTGGCTTTGGCATTCAAACCATGCAACCGTTTTGCCTGTTTGTTGAAAACCAGTAGAAGGAGGACAGCACAGCCTAACATAAATTGCAGGAAGATGGAAGACATATCCTCAGTGCCAGGGGGCCATAAAGCCATTTCCCTTCCAAACCCTCAATGACTTCGATGCAGAACATTTCTCTTGTATTCAGACTTGGAGTAACACCAGCTGAAAGCTTCGGTTTTTTTCCTTTGGACACAGAAGGCTTCTCTATCGGGGTACGGGGCAGGGAGGAGGCCTCGTGACCAAAGGTGGAGGTAGAGGGTGAGGGCCAGATCCCAACCTTGACCCTTGGGCCCACGCACCTCCTTGGGGCACAGCCTGATGATGGCACCCCTAGTAGGGTGCCTTTAGTATGGTTGAATCCGGACTGACAAGACATGAAAGAATTTTTTTTTTTTTTCTGAAATGAACTAGCAGGAAGCTCCTCGGGAGCACGTGTTTTGAGTAACCACAGGTGATGGATGCTACGAGTAGAAATGGATTAACTACCTCAATCCTTACAATAAGATTGGAACCAAGGGCGGGGACTCGTGCATGAGGGTATGAATCCCAGCCAGGAGAAGTGAGTTGAGGCTTATGCCAGAAAAGGTTTGTTCTTGAGGAACAGGCAGGCCTGCCAGGATCCCCCCACTCCTGTCAATGGGGCTGGGAGGTCTGGCAATTAAGTACCCCCTTTCTGCCTTCCTTGCCCTGGGGTCCAGTGTCACCCCTTTCCCTTCAGCCTGCCCCCCGCCCCCACTTGCTCTATCTTGTTGGACCAGAGAGGCTGGCTGGAGGTGAAGTCGGGGCTTGGGCCTGGAACCCATCACTCAGCCCTAGCGTCAGGAAGCCTGGGGAAGCCAGAGTTCAGACCTCTTCAGGGTTTCTCTTGAGATGCTCTGCCTCCATTGTACCCCCTTCTCTGTCTTCACGGGGACAGTTGGCTCTAGAAGAGGTGGTGCA